CCTCCACCTGCAGCACAACGCCATCGGGGAGCTGGCAGAGGGCAACCTGGCCGGGGCACAGGGGCTGCGCTGGCTCTACCTTGCCGGGAATGCCATCAGGCACATCGCCCCTGCCGCCCTGGCTCCTGCCAAGATGCTGGAGAAGCTGCACCTGGAGGGAAACCAGCTGGTGGAGGTGCCCACGGCAGCCCTGAGAGGCCTGGTTGCCCTGAGCGAGCTGAAGCTGTCCCGAAACCCCATCAAGCGCCTGGGGGACGGTGCCTTCCTGCCTGTGGCCTCCAGCCTGCAGCACCTCTATCTGGACAACATGGGCCTGGAGCGGGTACGCATGGCTGGGGGCCCCCCTTTTTACTGCAGGGCACAGCCACAGGTCCCATTTGTTCCAGTGGCCAGGGCTGGTGGCCCCTATAGGGGCACCTGAATGGATGTCCATGAACTCCCAAGGCTTCAAGAGATGCTCCAGAGCCTGACTGGGAGGAGAAGCTTCCTCCGGCTTAGCCATTGTCTTGCTCCAACCTGTCCCCTTGCTCCATTTGGTCCTTAAAGACACTCAGTTTCAGTGGGGTCCAGACCATTCCCCAAACCACCCCCTTTCCCCAGCCCTGATCATATTTCTCCTGCTCTTGCTCTGAGCTGTCCTGTGGGACTTTTCACTGCTCTTACCCTGAATTCCTCCACCCTCTAAAGCAAGCAGTGTTACCACCACTCTTGTAAGGATCATCCACCTTTAACAGCACCCAGGGATCGCTCTAAGACCATTCTGCATGTCACCTTCTTTCCAGGAAGACTGAGCAGGGTCTAGTAAGTCCCAAAATGTGACCGAAACTGGTTGTGTTAATTACCAGTTCCCAAGCATGTGTGCTGCTGTTTAAAACAGCTCTTTCATGGGGCTGCCAGGTTCAGGACAGGATGTCTCAGCCCCCCAGGCTGATAAGCAGTGCAGAGGCAGAGAGTTGCTTCCCTGACTCCCCCTCGCTTTGTTGCAGATTTCTCATGGTGCCTTCGCTGGTCTCGGTCCCAAGATCAGAAGCCTCTACCTGGAAAGGAATAAAATGAGCAACATCCCCGACATGAGCAACTTCACGGGGCTGGAGATCCTCAACTTGAGGGATGTGCCTTTCCGCTGCGACTGCCAGCTCCTTCCCCTGCGCAGGTGAGTGCTGCGAGGGGGGACAGCCAGACCCTGCCATGCCAGAAGCAAAAGCCCATGGCACACTGGCCCTTTTGGGTCTTCTCCCCTTGTGGTGAGATGGCACATGTGCCTCTGTGCAAGGATGGAAGCAGCCTGGGCTTCCTGGTACAGGGAAAGCAGCTGTAAGCTGGTGTGAGCAGATACTCAGATGTTCAAAGCTCACCCAAGTGAGGCCGTGAGCAACCTGGCCTGGCTTTGAAGGGACCTGTGCCCACTCACAGGCACGGAGTTTTGCCTCTCCTTTCACCCCATCCCCCTCCTTTCCCTGATCTCCTGCCCTCTTTCCAGGTGGATTGACAAGCTCAACCTCCGCGTAGGGGCCACTTGCAGGTCCCCTGCAGAAGCCCGGGGGCTGAAGGTGAAGCTTGCCACCACTTTCCAAACCTGTCCTGGCTGGGGCCGGGGCGAGGCTGGGGGAGCCAGTCCTGACAAGGCCAAGACTGCAAGCAAGCCCAGCAAGAAACAGAGGTCGGGAAAATCACCAGCCAGAGGATTCAAGAAGAGCAGAGCTTAGGAAAGGTGTGCAGGACACAACAGGGCCACACCTACAGTCTGGTGAGAGCAGTTTTTTTAGACTTGTCCCCACCGCAGCGACATGGATATTGCACAAGGTGCAAAGGAGAGAGCCTGGTGCCATCGAAGTGATGCTGATTTGCCAAAGATGGGGGGTTTGTTTTTGCAGGACACAGAGGCATGTTACTCTGGAAAGAACTGGTGCAAAAAAGCTTCTATAGTGTTTGCAGCATGCTTTGATGATTCCAATAACAAAGCCAAATACTTGCTTTTTCTTCCCAAGGCTCCTTCCAGTCATGTGGAAAAGCTGGAATTCACAAGTTTGTTTTTGTTTTTAAGAGTGCTGCGCTTTCACAGCTTCAGAAATTATTAAAGAGCCCTGAGCGGGACTGCACACAGCACCAACGCAAGATCCTGCACTGGCTCAAATCTTAGAGCAGAAAACACAGAAATTATAATCAGTGAAAACATGGCCTGAATTCCCAGAAGCTCCTCAGAATTAAAACACAAGCAGATTGAAACCTTTCTATTTCCTGCAAAATTTGATCAGTGGTCCAGTCAGTAGAATGGGATCACTGATCCCATCATAAACGATGTGCCCAACCTCTTCCTCACGGCAGCCCAGACTGGGAGCCCCCTGGCCCCATTTTAGAGTCAGAAGTTTGTTAAACTTGAGAAGGTTTCTAGCCATTAAATGACCATGTGGGGCATGTAACTGTTAGAGCAAAAAAACCAAAAAAAAACCACAGGAGGAAGAAAGCCAAAGGCATTTGGAAAATACCATCCTATAAAGACAGGTGGCCCTACAAGCCTAGCTCTTTAACAAGGCTGGGTAAAGGTGGGAGCTCAGGAGGGAGGGGAAGAGAGAAACATGATGGCTTTGCCCTGAAATGAGATCCTCTCACATTAATACCTCTGTCACAAACTGGTGCTAGGCAGAACTGCCAGGACTATCCAGCAGACATGGGCAGGTGGGCAGGGAAGCCCCATTACACACTCTTGACAAAAATCCCACACCCCCATAGTTTCCCCAGGAGTCCAGGGCCTGCCCAGGGGGGCAGTTAGGGATGGGCCAAGATGGCACAGCTCTTGGGCCCAGTTTGACACAGACCCTCCACACTTTCTCCACTTGCGTTTCATTTCTTCCCCGTGGACTTTTCTTCCCTTCCCAGTTAAATGCTCTGTTTGCCTCTTCAGAAGGGAAAAGACCGTGTTAATTACTCCCAGTCTCTACACTGTGTCTTCTAGATGGTTAGCTTGCCAACTTTTCTTTTTCTTTTTTTTTTTTTTTTTTTTTCTTGTCATGAACCACTGTGCAAAGCAGGAACTATTTTGGCATCACAAGCTCTCGCCTGGAAACTAGAGGGGAGCACAGCCAAGGCAGCCATTTCATGGCCAAGATGGTGCCCTGGGCAGCCACCCTTTCCCTGCAGGGTTTGACAAGGCACTTGCCCTACAGCCGGCCGGGCTCTGCAGTAGCACCAACAGGCAGGACACTTCCTCACCTGTAGAAAGTTCACAGGAACCTGCTGCAGGAGATTTTAAACTGTTTTTCATCACTGGTGTCATACTGACCTTTCTGATTTCCACCCTGAACTTTGATGGCCAGTCTGGGAAGAGAGGAATGTTACAGCTTCATTCTAAAAGAGCAAATGGCATCCCCTGCCTCAAGTCATCTATGGCATTCTTGTGATATTCAGCCCTTACACAGAACTGGGAAGTACAGAGGGGTGAGGGTACAGAAAAACCTTATTGCATGCCTCAAAAAAACCACGCAAAACGCTGTCTACTTATTCCAACCCAGTTACAGCCCTCTTCTCCTCCCCCTCTTGGCTAACCCTGGTATTCTGGTGACCCAGAAAGCAATACACAAGCCTTTGGCTTCTTCCTCAAGTTTAATTCACAGGACTTTAGGGGACAGATCATAGATAAAATTTACAGTAGGACTGCTAAAAATTTAAAAATTCTAACTGTGCACCATGTCCTCTGCAGTTCTGGGTTCATGAGCAAGACATGATAGCACTCATAAAAGGTCTCTTGCTCCCTCAAGAGGCATCATCATCATCCCTTTTTGTGTTTGTTTGGGTTTGTTTGTTTGTTTTTTCTACCTCTTTCCACTCTTCCTGTCCGGACTTTCTCAGGGGTTGCAGGGCCTAGACCAAGGAGCACAGCACCGATGTCCTATGAAGGCAGCCGGTTTCCTGACACATGTGACCCGCACACATCATCCCAGGCTGCAGCTTGCCACCTCCAGCCACAGCTGAGAACACAAACTGCCCCTTCTGTGCTCTGGCAGCCTCTTTCCCCATTGGGAACTCCTGCTTGGAAAGGTGCCTTCAAAGCCAGGCACACATGACCCCAGCAGCCACCCTGGTCACGCTCCTCAGTGTGCCTGTGGCCCGGCCAGAGTCTATTTCCCAGAGCTTAAAATTCCAGGTCTGGGGGAAATTTTCTTGCACACTGGGAAAGCAGAGTTGTGATGTTTCAGGGTGGTCTGCCTCAAAAAAGGGAAGGCCCTTTTAGTCTTCCGCTTCCCTTTGCCAGGACTTTCTCCAAAGAGCCACAAGGTGAAGCGCAGGCTGCTGTGGGCAGCTGAGGGATACTTGAGGATCAGTCTGTGTCCTCCTGCTTTATGCTGCTGATGGAAATGGGAAGCTCTGTAGCTCCAAACTCTGCTACCGAGGGGTCGATGGTTTCTTCTTTCACCTGCACAGCAATGACTAGCAAGAGACAGAAAGAGAGAGGGAAAAATAAATAAGCAAAATCAACCCATGCTGCCTCACTCTACCTGCAGCACCCCAGAACCAGCTCTGTTCATGCAGATACTCAAAATGCCCCAGGTTTCCAGCCCACTTCTTAAAGGTCCCTTACCACAGGCAGCCCTATCTTGCTGGCACAGATCTGTCCATGGTCACAGCAGCAATCAGGCTGGGATTAAACCCTGGGAGCATTCAGCTGCCTGCTCCCAAGAACAGCTTCTCCTAGGGCCAAGGGAGGAAAAGCCAGTGTGGTCCATTCTCTACCTGCCTGGATCCACACAGGGGAAATTAAACCTCTGTGAACAACAGGGACCTTCATGAGGCTCCAACTCCATGTGCACAAAACACCTTACCCACCCTCTTCTCCAACACCCACGAGGGTTGGCAGGTGACCCAGCTGACAAATGCTCTTCCAGTCACTACATCTCTCAATGCTCAGCACAATGTGCTGTGTTCACATGCTGCGATGGCCCTTGTGGGGACTGGGATGTGACAGCACACCTCTGACATGTCCATCTTGTCTCTCCTCCCTAACTGACCTCACACAACCAGACTGCTCAGTAGGGCAGCCAGGCCCTCAGCAGGCATCAGCAGTATCAACACATCTAGTTGTACCACCAAACCTTCTCAGGAGGCAAACCTTCTCAGGGAAAGCAGGCAAAAGCTTTCTTCCACTCTCCTGTCTCTGGAGGAGTGGGGAAGGACATTTATCACGATGCTGCCTTTCCCTGCCTGGGAGCACCCATAACTTAATGGCCAAGAGGCAGCATATGCCTCAGGAGGGCCACTGGCATGCAGGGCGTATGCAAGAGAGTAGTGTGTAGAGTAACTTGTTCCCTTACTCTCGTCAGGTGCTGGCTCTGGCAAAGCCTTGCTGGCATCTTTCGCTTCTCGTTTTGTCTTCAGGGCGGAAGGCTTCTTGACAGTCTGCTTGATGGTGCGGGTTTTGGCAGGTAACTTTTTTCCTTAACAAAGAGATAACAGAGCATGGGGAAAAAGGTGTTTCTTTTCCCCTAGAAAATCAGCAACCCTGCTCCACTGAGAAACCACAGGCCAGGGACCAGCACAGCTGACCAGCAAGCTACACGGTCATTAGCTGCCACTGGTTACTCAACAGAAGTGGCCTACTGGAGAAAAATCTCCATAATCATCATCTCAAAAGATGCTCCTCTGTGTTCTCCTTCATTAAAGGCAAGGCACCTGCGTGTGTGCTTAACTCCCGAGGAGCAGGTCCTGCTGGAATCAGTCTGGAGACAGCTTTGCTTACCTGTCTGGGTCTAGTCCTAGACAAAGGGCATGTTGGCCACAAGGCACGGACATTGTAGCATTAATGTTTTCATTATTAGCTGACATTTTTATTTAGGTTGAACGTCCTTATACTCTTTAGACGTCCTTTCCTCTCCACCCCCCAGGAAGGAGTTTCTTGCCTGTCTGTGCATGATTTGCCACAGCTACTGCAACAATGACAACAACAATGACAAGATGAAACAATAACATGGTCCAGCCCCACTACTGCCCTCTTCAGCCATCTTAAGGCCTTCCCATCAGCGCAAAGCAGGCAGGGTTGCTCTCCAGCTACCCTCCAGCTGCAACAAATTTTCTCCCTCCAGCCATGGTCACAGTGGGGAAAGCAGCACAACCTCACGCCTGGAAGCAAGCGCCATCTATACCTCAGCCAACAGAAAACAGGCTGCAAAACAGATCCTTCCCACACACGCAGCTCTCTGCTGTCTTAGGCAACGGGGGCAGTTAAGAAGGATGAAGCTGTGTTGTCAAACCCACAGGTGACTGAGGGCATCCACAGCAAGACAAGGCCTCTCTCTCCTGCTCTGACAGGACATGGACAGGATTCCTCTAACTGGGCCCAGCCTGCGAGCGAGCCGGAGGGCACCAATCAAACATCACTCACTCTTCTTTCCATAGGGTTTCTTCTTCTTCTTGGGCACCTCCTTGGCCTTCACTGGAGTTGTGGGCTCTGTCATGGAGACGAGAGGGAAACGAAAGCCAAGTCCCATAACCAGTAGGTAACTGGGATGAAGTGACATAAGCGAGAAACAAGATATACCCGTCCCCCCGAGCCAACGCCCTCTTCCCGTGACAACCATCCGAGAGGAAAGCAAGGCTCTAGCGCAGTTGCTCTCTGTGCTTCCAGGCGAGGGCCCAGGGTGGCAGGCTGGGGCAGCATAGGGGAGAGAGGCCCAGTAGAGACTGGGCAGGGGCAGTAAAGAAACAAGATTCGTAGCTTGGGACAAAGAGGAAAACACCTGCAAAGGTGAGGCAGTGGCCTCCCTGTGACAAGGGAAGGAACAGACTCTTGAGAGGGATGCTCTTACCTTTTACAGGCAGAGCCCGAGAATTGATGAGAAAAGGGAGAAGGGGCAGAGCCCCCTCTGCTACCTGGCTGAGGCTGTAGGTAAGCTTAGTAAAAGGGATCTGTGCAGGGACAGGACCACCTGGAACTCTACCTGACTTCATCAGGAGCAATTCTCTGTTGGTGTGCAGGTGGGGGAACAGAGGGAAAATAGAGCCAACCTCCAATCTCAGGCTGTTTTTTCCCCACCAAAGACTCCTCCCCCTGCCAACTGTGCCAGCAGAGGAAGACTTATGGTAGCCAGCGCACATCAAGGAGGCAATTTTCTCCTCCCTACAGGGCCCAAAAAGGAGGTGCCACTCACAGAGCAGAAAGAAGGAAACCTTTACCTGTAGTGTTGGAAACCACAGTCAAATCTTCACTCACCTGGAACAACAGGTGGTTGAAGCTGGTAGCCTGTCAGCTCACACCACCCCACAGGATAAATGTCAGGAGACTCACAGTCCACCCACTGGTCATACTCATTGTCCCAGCCATCAAAATGGATGCTAAGGAGACGGTGGACTACACGCTTCACTGTGGCCACGCAGATGAGTCGGGGCTCCATCAGGTCCACTGCTTCCACCTTCATGCCTGCTTTGAAGCCATGGTTTGGGCAGTCCTGGGTGCAGAAAAAAACAAAAAAAAAGAAAACCCAAGGCCATTGCACCCAGTCCAAACCCACACTTGGCCACCAGCACCCTAGATCTGCTAAGGGCTTGCCTCCAGCTTAAAGCAAGCAGAGAGAGAACAAGCCCATGGTTGAGCAACAGAACCGGCCACATAAAAGAAGGGGGCACACATGAACAGATCCAAGGCCAGCCATGTTCTTAGTGAATCTCGGCCCAGCCTTTAGAAACAAGATCCTGACCCAGGGGCAGCAGCAGACAGCAGTTAAGTGACACCCGATCAAACCCATTAACCTGAGACAGCCCTAGGAAGTCAGAAAGATTGGCACAGGCCCAGGTGCTGCAGCAGTTTTGCTGATGCAAAGCAGCCCCCCCCACTCAAGCGCCAGCCACATGTCCACAGCAATAAAAGTGGTGCAGAAACCACCAGGAGCCTGGAGCTCTTGGAAACACAAGAGAATCACAGGTCATGCTCAGAGGGACCAAAGACATCATTACATCCACAAAGGCACAACACTGCTTGTCCCAGCCTTGGGCTCTCCTTAGAAGTGCTGACTGGCTCCAAAGAGCAACCCAGCAGAGACACCGGATATCGTCTACCCTGACTTCAGTAAAGCTTTTGACACTGTCTCCCATAAGATCCTCACAGAGAACCTGATGGAAGTATGGGCTGGATGAGGAGACAGTGAGGTGGATTGAAAACTGGCTGAATGGCTGGGCCCAGAGGGTGACGATTACTAAAAGGAAGTCTAGTTGGAGGCCAGTAATTAGTGGTGTACCCCAGGGGTCGATACTGGGTCCAATCTTGTTCAACATCTTCATTAATTATCTGGATGACATGACAGAGTGCACTGTCAGCAAGTTTGCTGGTGATACAAACCTAGGAGAGACTGATACATTAGAGGGTCATGCTGCCATCCAGAGGGACCTTGACAAGCTGGAGAAATAGGCTGACAGGAACCTCATAGAGTTCAAAAAATGGCAATGTCAAGTCCTGCACCTGGGGAGGAACAACCCCAGGCACCAGCACATGCTGGGGCCAAGCAGCTGGAAAGCAGCTTGGCAGAAAAGGACCTGGGGGTCCTGGTGGACACCAAGTTGAACATGAGCCAGCAACGTGTCCTTGGGACAAAGAAGGCTAATGGTAACCTCGGCTGCACTAGGAGGAGTGTTCCCAGCAGATCAAGGGAGGTGATCCTTCCCATCTGCTCAGCATTGGTAAGGACATGCCTGGAGTGCTGGGTCCAGTTCTGGGCTCCCCAGTACAGTAGAGACATGGACATACTGGAGAGAGTCCAGGGAAGGGTCATGAAGGTGATGGAAGGGATGGGAGCACCTCTCCTATGAGGAAATGCTGAGAGAGCTGGGACTGTTCAGACTAGAGAAGAGAAGGCTCACAGGTATCTCATTAATGTCTATAAATGCCTGAAGGAAAGGTGCAAAGATGGAGTCAGGCTCTTCTCAGTGGTGCCCAGGGACAGGACCAGAGGCAATGGGCACAAACTGAAACACAGGAGGTTCCCACTGAACATCAGGAAACACTTTTTACTAGGAGAGCAACTGAGCACTGGCACAGGTTGCCCAGGGAGGTTGTAGAGTCTCCATTTATGGAAATGTTCAAAAGCCATCTGGACATGGTCCTGGGCAGCCTGCTCTAGGTGACCCTGCTTGAGCAGGGGTGTTGGACAAGATGACCTCCAGAGGTCCCTTCCAACCTCAACCATTCTGTGACAAGCCAGAGCTCTTGTGCTTCCCCTTGCTGACTGCAAGCACCCCTACACAACTCTTCTTCCTGACAGCACTTACTGTATTGAAGAGCCGTGCTGGAGCAGGTTTTGAGTTAGTCTTTTCCAGGTAACTTTCCCAGTCAAAGGTCTTTGCATCTTGCCCTGCAGCAAGAAGACATGGTCAGAGGGGAAAAAGGCAGTCACTTGGCAGACCAGCTGGGGGAAAAAGACAGGCAGAATAGGCAGGAAGGAGGCATAGCAACTAGTTGCAAAGGAGTTTCATTAACCAGCACATACAGCCTGATCTTGGATGTAAATCTAAGGCACAGATTCCATGGCAGTCCAGCATCCCTCTCCAGCGGGCAAATACAGAAAAGTGCAAGCTGCAACTCTGAACACCTGTGTCAGTCACGTAACCAGACCACAGAGGAGGGTGAGGAGAAGCAGCAGGCAGGAAGAAGTATGTTCAAAACATGCCACCAAGACCAATCTTTCTCCCACCAGCAGTGACATCAAAGGAAGAGAGAACAGCAATGCACAAAAGTGCTGCAACACAGAAATTCAGAGTAGGCCTTTTTTGGGTAAGGCTTGAAGAGGCAGTAAAACCACTCCTAGGTTGACTGCATCTCAACATTTTTCAGAAATATTGATCTCAGATTTATTCATACAAGAAGAATAGAGGTGCCACTTTTAAGTACTGAGTCATGCAGCAAGGACTCTAGTTATCCCTTCCCACCCTCCTTGTCTTTTGAACCTTTGATTCTCTTCAGTTTGGGGATTGTACATCTCTCCCACTGAGCCTCCAGGAGCTAACCTCCAGGCCATTAATGCACCCCTGAGATTTTACTTCCTTCCACAGAGTACCAAGACTTGGTATATGGGCAGAGCTCAAATGGACTGGCTCTCTGAACCAGCTCTATCTCCCTGAAAAACAGGCAGATTGGGACCTCGTGGTTTTGATTTATCTAAAGCTGACATGTCTCAGAAAAATCACAGCCCAGCAGATTCTGCATGCAGGTTTGTGCCACAGGGCAGAGTCCAAATCTCACCTTTTGGAGGGGTCAGATCGATGCTGTTCTTCTGACAGAAGTTGACGGGGAAGATGGCATGCGAGGAGGCATGATAGCAGAACCAGTCAGAGCCATCAGCAGATGTGGCTCCATCAATGCTGATCATGAGATACCCGTCCAAGAGGACCTGAGGTGGAAGTGAAGGGCATGAGTGCAGAGCTTTGCTTGTTCTAAAGCCTCTCCTCTCAAAGAATCCTCCCAAGAGTCCCCACAGATGGATCACAATTGCCACTAGACAGTAAAATGCAATGTTGTGTGCTCCAGGGCATGCAGTAGCTTCTCCAGATATGTTAGTCAACACAAGCTAATCCCCAAAGTAGCAATTTCTGCAGGACTGGGACCAATACTAATAGCTTGGTGAGAAGGACTCAGCAATAAAGGTCAGGAGCTCTGTTCTCCCTCAGAAACAGACTTTATTGGCAGCCCAGAGACTCTCTACACCAGCCAGGTCATGTATTTGTTACCAGGCAGCAGGGAAGGGCACCACCTTGACACTTCCTACAGAAACAAGACTTGTCCCCTCCTGTCACTCACTGGTAATTGGTGCCTACCAAATGTGATAGGCTCATCTGCCCCAGCCTCTTCACATTTCCAAATGGCTGAAGGCAACATTTTACAGACACAAAGAGCTTTCTAGCATCCCCCTGCCAAACTCCAAGTGTCAAAGTCCTCTGCTTGGGTTCTGTGAGGGCAAACAGCTTCTTGAGGGAGCACGAAAAGCCCAAGTCGATGCTATACTTTAGGACATGAAACACACCCCGCTGAGGAAAGCTGTGCAAGCAATTTCCCAACACTAGCACAGGAGTAGAGCTCACTACCAACTCATCAAGGCAGGAGACACTTACAGCCTCAGCTTCCTACACCTGTGAATGCTGCCCATACAGATACACCCCATTCCCCACACAGAGGTCACCCCACAACTCTTCCTCTCTCCTTTCTCTCAAAGCAGCACTACAGAGGCCTCTCCTTATGCACTCCGAGAACTGGAGAACAAGTCTTCCGTACTGCATACCCAAGGGTGAAGGAAGGGCGGCTGCCAGTCACATACACTGGACAGTCAGCTCGCAGACCAAGCATGCTCATCTTCATGCTGTCCACTTAGGCACACGTGGACAACTGCTGGTCGCATCAGCTCCTCAGACCTCTGAGGTAATGCCCCAACTCCCTCCATGCACCAGCTGCCTGCCTCTCTTGACAGCCCTCTCCTCTCCCTCATGCAAAATCCTACCTGGTCTTATTCATTTGTGAAGACCTGAGGAGAGGCTGGGTTATCTCAGGTAAACACAACAGACCCCCTTCCACCCACTGAACTTACCTTGCAAACAGTGGCCACACAAATGTTGCCCAGATTCAGGGGGTCAATGGCTTCCAGTTTCATGCCTTCCTCAAACCATCCACCTTCAGCATAGACAGCTCGTACCTACGGGAGACGCTGGTATAACCATGTGCTGTCAGGGGTGTGGAACAGTCCCACCCTGACACTAAGTGCGCCAAGTGCAAACAGGATTAGACCTTCTTTACTTGGCTCAACCCAAGAAGAAATATTACAAGAACTACAAAGAGGCAGCCAAACCAATGCTGTGTGTCAGCAACCTCCTGACAAGGTTCTGGTCAGAGAGCCAGGACCAGCACTCAACCACTGCTCCGCAGCAAAGCAAGCCTCCTTCTCATCTCAGTCCTCAACCTTTCTATTTTGACCTGCCCCTGCCCAACCACAGCCTTGACACCCCAAACACCTTACTGCCCTATAGCTGCAAGAGAGGCAACTGAGCCACCCTCAACAACCCACACAACAGCATATATACCCAAGGAAGGAAGTGGTATCATTGCTTCCTTTGCTGTGGCCAACACAGAAAGGCAGACTTGTCCTACCTTCTTAAACAGATAGGGGACAGCATCACAGTAAATCTTCCGGAAGGTGGGATGGTTCGCCATGTCACTGCGTTTTTCTTCTGTGAGGAATGGAAGAAACAGAGGTAAGAAACCTGCAGCAACTGCAGTAAGAAAACACAATGGTTATGAATTCCCTAGTAAGAGCTCAGCTGCTATAAAAGACTTAGATTAGAGACCATGAGAAGAGTAATAAAAAGAACAGGTCAGTCCCTCTACACCTTCTCATAACATGGGCTGTGATGCAGGGCTTGCTCACAGATACAAGGGCTCGCTTGCAGATGTCTGACCTTCCGGAGCACTAGTGGTAACACCTCTACATGCAGCTGTAATCACCAGGGAGAGGCAGCAAGGAAGGAAGACACAATCAAAAGGATCAGGAGGGCTTGAGGCTTGTTTTTTTCTCCCAGTCTAAGCTGATCAACAATTCCTCTCCGTAAAGTCCAGAAAAACACAACCTGGTGGCACCCACTCTTACAGAAAACCAGCATGAATTTCCTCAAAAAGACTGTAAACATCTGTGATGTTGCAAACTCTGCATTCTCACGCTGTGGGGACAGACTACCTGCTTCAGGTAAGAAGCTCTACAGTGACGCTGTCCTGACCTGCAGCAGCAGATCTATCCGGGGTAAAAGCAGCTGACATGACTGCAGACTTTATTTGTCAGGTCCTGAGGCAACTGCCTGGCTCCTGACATGTCAGGACTGGTGTCAGCAGCAGGGTCCAGGCAGTTCATAGCAAATCAGAAGATGCTTGTGGTGGCTTGATCCCTACCTGTCTTCTTCATGCTGTGGCCCACTCTCCGTGACCAGCCCACAGGATGGATGAGGGGACTCCACATGTGGCACCAGAAGTCATCATCGCTGTCACCATCCTCATAGAGGAGTCTCAGTCTGCCTCCGATCACCGTGTCCACCACTGCCATGCGCGTCCGGGACACGTGGTTCTTATCCACCACCTCCACCCGCATGCCCTGCCGGAATGGGTACTTCATACTCTCCGCCATCTGGCAACAACCAACAGAGGAGGTGAGATCAATCACAGTTGGTGTCTTCCTTCTCTAAACACTTCAGAGAACCATTTTCCCCACAGACACGCTGGACAACCCCTTGCAGTGCCCAATGCTGACTAGGAAGTGATGCATGGGAGCGGGACCATCAGGGGGACATGGAGCTGCCAGCCCCACACATGACAGTATGGTTGGGCACACACTCCCCAAATCTCCCGTCCTGTGGCCCCATAACAGCTACCCCCACCCTGGCCCAGCAGCTGTGCTCAGACAGCACCTTGTGTGAATGTTGTGAGTGTGAGAAACAGATGTCACTTCTGTTCACCAGGAACTGACTGAGGAGTTTTGTGCCTTTTTCAGTCATGAAAGAGATCATAAGGGTTTCAAGGCTGGAAGCAGTTAGAGGTGTAGCTTCCCAAAGGGCAATAGGAATTTCAGTTGACTTTAAGAAAGGCCAGGCCCTTATTTTCACCTTTTTACTCTGATCAGAGGTTGAGCAACATGGTAATCTATCTGCCAACTCCAACGCCAGAGTTACTATGCAGACTGATCCAAAGGCACAGGCACACAAAAAGAGTCACTAGCTGCCTTCTAACTGATTTTTTTTTTTGAGACCTTCAGTTTGCTGATACAGCCTACTCTTACTCATCCACAAATACCCAAAGGTGTTTAAAGAACACTTGACATTTTGCCACTGTGATCGCAGAATGCTGTCCAGCAACTAGGAATCACAGCTCAGTACAGACTTGGGACACCCAAACCAACCTACACCCGAATCCAAAAGAACTTTTAAGGTAAGGTCTTCCTCTCCCACTTCCTGTTCATTAGGTGGGAGTGGAGATGCTGAGGGGAGAAAGATACTGACAACATCTGTCTCCCTCTACCACTTCCCTGCCACGGCGTGAGCTCTCAGCTACAAGCTGTGGCCCGGGAACAGGCGGCTATGAACATCCCTTCAACTTTCTGAGAAGCAACAAGGGAAATGACAACCCTGTAAAGGTCCCCAGCTCAGTGTCACCAATTACCTCGCACACAGGAAAATCCATCACCTCCCTTCCTGCCTGCTGTCTCTGGGACAGTCTTCCTTATCTGTGCCTTCTAAAGCTGACAGTCACAAAAGATCCAACATGGTCTAACCTCAGTGCAGGCTACGCGAAACAACCATGAGAGCTATAAGGCTGCAGAGGCCACGGCACAGTTGCTTCCATGCACTTCGAAGGAGCCTGTGCCCGTCTCTCACTGCCTGCAAGCTGCTGTGCTACCACCACTGAAGACAAAGGTGTTTAACTCTCAGAGCCATTCCTCAGCATTGAAACAGGGCAGGGAAAGGCCGGGTTGGAGCTGCATTGGCCTCTCCTTTAAACAAAAGGGGAAACCAAAATAACAAACCTCATCCCCAGTATTTTCCAGCAGACTACATGACAACAGCTTTTAAAGCCCATCTATGACCCAAAGGAGAAACGGTTGTGCTAACAGGGCACGGAGGCTGTGCCATTACCCACAGCATCATGACAGGTATCTCAGGAGTATGGGGAAGGACTCACTGCCCCTGTCCTGCCCAGGTTTCAAGGAGGTACATAGGAGTTGCACAGATCAGAACAAGAAGAAACGTGTTGTGCACACATCTCTTAGCTTTGGGTTCATTTCCACACATAAAATGACAGCCTCCCACATTTACCTTGATGTGGAAATCCACTGGGATGGTCCTGGCTCCCACCAGTTTTTTCATGAGGTAACTTCTCCAGTCAGTGTACTTGGAAAGGATAGCTACACACACACACAGGGGAAAAGCACATTTTTATGACCGAAGGAATCACAGCATCACACTCCATCTTTCTTCCTCTCTGAGAGTTCATTTGCATTAAAATGCCTTCTTCACATTCAGATTCTGTACCTGCTGCTCTCAGGCAGACCCTATTCTGCAAGCTTGCCCCCACAACTCTCCAAACTGCTAGCTGAGCAGGGACCGGAGCCATTGCACTCCCCAGAGACATTGTCCAGGATGTAGGACCAAAACGTTCCTCCAAAGGTTAAGCCTAGCCACCATGTGGGTCAGAAGGAGGAACAGCCACCAGCATTAGCCTCTGTCCATAGGTCTGACACCAGCTCTGCATCCGGCACCCCCAGGGTCAACCACAGGGAGATGCAGAGGGAGCAGTCTCCAGCTTCCCAAAGAACTGTTCCTTGTAACATAAATGGAGCTGTGGTCCCACATACAATGGTAGCACCTGTCCCATTGGCCTAGGCATAAACCACCACTCCTCCATGCCCAGGCATGTGCTGACCCCTCTTGCCTCACACTCACTTTGTGGTGGTACCAGGATTTTGCTGTTGATGGCACACCAGCCAATGGGGTGAATATCCACTGTGCCCAAATTGCACCAGAAGTCGTGGCCAGCGTCATTCTCAAAGCCCTCATATCGCAAAAGGGCCCTGTACCCTGCCAGGACAGAGCAGACAAACAGAGAAAGGCATTAGAGGCCAAGAATTTATCCTCTCCCCATTGGGCACCACAGCATGGCCTTCACAGCTCTGCATAGGTTATCAGAGCTTCTCCAGCCATTCTCCAGCAACCAGAAGAGGAACCAGATGCTGCTTTCCTCCCTCCCCCGCACCGTGGTATTTCCTGTTCCAAAATCTCTCAGCAGTTGCAGAGCTCCAAAGAGCTGATGTTTTGACCAGCTACACTCAGCTCTCTAAAGCTTCCCCCAGAGGCTAGCCATCCCCAGCTGTCTGGAATTACACTGGAGACATACCTACAGTCTGGATGACGGACGCAATCCAGTACACACGGCTGGGGAGGACGGCATCACTGTTCAGCACTTCCACTTTCATACCTTTCACCACATCATCCCACTGATCAAAGAGCGGCACCTGAAGAATTGAGGCAGCCATGTTGGAGGAGGGGCACTGACAGTCAGAGCAGCTCAGGCCCTCATTTTAGGTTTCAGAGATATGTTTTAGGCAGCTACACTTTCACCTTAGGCCCAGGTTTGCATGCTCACCCTTCCTGTATCTGCCAACAGGTTGAAATGCAAAGAAACTGTCCCCAACATCTCACTAGGGTGTTCACAAAGGATCCCAAAAGGCAGAACATTGTATAGCAACACTTAACTACTTCACTGTCAGCTGTCCTGTTATCCCAAAGTAGCTGCTGCCATTCCTCTATGGTATCAAAATCCCTAACCATCAAACTGCTGTGTCTTCCTGACCTATCCTCAAGAAAAATAAAATTTCGTTAGTACTTGAGATCACAACTCAAAAGAAACATAACAAGTGAGTCTTAATACACAGAGGGGCTGGGGCTGCTATAATGCCTAAGAATTCTTCCATGGATGTGCCATGCCTACTTGGCCCACAGAGATTGCAAATCGGTATGACAGCAACCAGACACGCTGGAGGGGCAGTTACTGCCAGGCCCACAAAAGGTGAGTTCCTCCCTGCACACCTCCCTGGGCTGTGCTCACCCACACCAACTGCAAAGGCAACCAGGAGCTTTCCACTATCCCCCCCAGTCAGAACTAATTCTGTCCCCAGCCAGCACTGGGCCATCACCACTGGCAGTGCTTCTACCAAATCCCCCCCTGCTTTCTCCCCCAAAACTCCTGGTCCCTCTGTGGGACTCCCATTCTTAGGTGTGAGAAGCCCCAACTTCTTTCCTTGCATCAGCGGGGGCTTACTAACCAGCTTCCCAGGTCCGTCCCTACCACTGGTCACAGGAGCACAGAGGAGCCCCATGCATATGGCATGTCCCATGCACACCTCAAGGCACGACAAAGTAGAACTCACGTGTTTGAAGCAGCTGACAGGAGCTGCCTTGAAACCATGCTCCTGCAGGTACTTTCCCCAGTCAAAGCCCAGGACGAGTGCTATAAGATATGAGAGCAGAAAATCAGGTGAGATTATCGAAAAAGCACAGAGCTCTCAGTTACCTCTGGACTACACCTTGCAGCCACATTGTGCCCTGCTCTGGGACAGAGCTCTCTGCCCCAGCACACAGAGACCCTGCATTCCAGTGTATTTTCCCTGGTGAGGAACTCGATCCTACAAGTGCACAGGGATCAGCCCCCCCCAAGAGGCACAATATATTATTTATCAGTCCTTGCTGTCACTTGCTTTTGGGAAAGAGGGGGCAGGAGGGGCAAGAAAAAGGGTCAAATCCAGCTCAGGCCTCAAGCACTCCAAGGAGAGCAGAGACTGCACCTGCCAGTGCTAAACCAGTTAGCAGCCACATTGCAAGGTCGTACCAGCAGCGCTTGCTTCCCCGGAGGGTGGTGGGAAAATCAGAGTGAAGCGCTACAACTTTGCTCCAGCAGCACTCTGCTCAGGGATCAATCCCTGCTGCCACCTCCTGGGGCTCACTTTTGCCCTAACACAGCAGCTTGCTACTCCTCCAGCCGTAGTGACTGGCTGTTCCTCAAACTGGTCAGTAACTAACTCGGCAAAAATATAACTCCCCACAGGCAGTGGGGCAGTGAATGGCTGGGAGCAGCAGGGCACCTTTAAGTCAGCTTTGCTGACTCGTGAGACTGAGCTTATGCTTCAGTCCAAACCACACCAGGAGCGAGTTTGAGGCTGCAATAGTGGACAGGCAGGAACCCACCAGGGCTCTGTTAACACTGGCAGAGAGAGGGAGGAAGATGTGCCCTGTGTCCTGCCAGCCTGTGTCAGAGCGATCCACACAAGTACAAGGCAGTACACCAAAGCTGAGGAAGAGGACTGTAGAGCTTACAGGCTTCCAGGTGTCCCCATTTCTGTGGCTCTGGCAGCTGCACCTCCTAACACCTCACCTACACTCACCATCCTGGCCTGTCAGTGTTCCATCTGCTAGCTGTCCCGTCCCCTGCGAATGAAGGAAGGCCCCAATCTTGGCTGACCAGGCTGCCTTGTGCAGAACTTTAGCTTTCTTCGTCGGTGGCTTCCCCTACAAAAGAAGTGACATTAGGAATATTAGTGGCACAGGAGAGGAGAGGAAGCCAGGCCCTGCAATTAGCCAGCAGGGCATGCATCTCTTCCTTGGGGCGATTTTCAGGTTTCAGCATTTTCACTAATGCTCACAGGAATAAGAAGAAACAGCAGGTAAAATATAACTGTGTCCTTCCCCAGCTTCTAGGAAGCACCACCTTTCCACTGGCATACTTTTTCTGGGGACTTGAGGCAGGAAGAACAAGCCACTGGCAATGGCAGTCTGATCTTTAACTAGAGAGCAACTCCTGCACACAGGTACATCCTGCTCCATCCCCAGGGAAGAAAGAAGGGTTTTGACTCACCTGCAGTCTGGCCAGGATGCTGGCCTTCTTGGAGTTTGAGGAGTAGCTTCTGGAGCAGGAGACGCTGCAGAAACGTTTGGTCTTGGAGAAAAAAGCCTCCCTGGTGCCCACAATCCCACACATCTCACACACAGCTGAGGAGGAAGGCACAAAAACATGAGCATTTGGCAGGACCAATGCGCTACAAGGACAGAGCTGAGCCCAGGTAACCTTCATTACATATAGCAGCTCCCCCACATAGTCCAGAAAACGCAGCCTCAAGCCAGTGCTGTTCCCAAAGCACATGCAAGGTGCAGTCATATACCCTTCAGCTTTCCCAGCCCTTGTTCTTTACATCATGCACGTGCTTTAGGTAGAACAGGCAGGCAGTGCAGTACCTGGCTCGGACCCGTTGTCCTCTGTGAGCTGGCCTGTGGACGGCTGGTGCACAGAAGAGGTCAGAAGCTCTCCAGCTTCCTGGTCTGCCACCTCACCGTCACTAGACTCATCCAAACAGGAGCTGCTGTCGCTGCCCATGCTGCTCTTGCAGCCCTGGAAGCTGTCGTAACCCCCAAAGATGTCCAGTTCATCATCTTCCTCATCGTCATCACCTTCCTCCTCCATTCGTTCCAAAGATGAAGTTTTGTGGCAGAGGGTAGACATCGACTGAAAAAAGAGCCAGTCTGCTTTAAAATAGACATTTTACACCACACTCCACAATAAACCTGCCTTCATTGCTAGGGGACCCTCTTGGACCAGGGAGAGGCCTCAGGGTGAGCAATGAGTCCACATGACAGCTCTAAGGCAGAAGTCCGAATCCCTAGCAGGGAAGGTATGACCCCCACAACAGGTTCTTTTACAGGATTTCACAGGCTGCATTCTGCTTCCCAAGAGGAAACAAACAGACAGAGAGCTGCAGCTACACAGAAAAGAGTTTGAGGAACATGGGAAGAATACAGGGAACTACACTGCCACACTGCTGAAGACAGAGAAGACTGCATCCTTCCAGGCACTGTCTATCCCAACACATTTCCACAGCACAGCAGTGCAGACACCACCAACATTAAAGTCACCACAAACTTCCAGCACAGAGTGCAAAGCTGCACACACTGGCCACCATAACTCACAAGACCAGTACAGCCTGGACGTCAGCAGGACAAACTTGACTCTGTAGAAAGATCATGTTCTTTGGAAACTGCACAGTCCATAGCTGACCTCAGTTCAGAAACTGCATCAGCAGGATGACAGAACAATGTTTGTTATGAGTTTTTGCCTACAGCCAGATGTCTCCAACTAAACATATTCACTAGCTCTTCATACTTGCTGCTACAGCAAGTCAACATAGAGGCAGCGACTGTAGAAAAAGCACAGAAATCCAGTAACTGTTTCTCAGACTAAGAGAATCTTGAACCAGGCTTCAAATAAGCACAAAAGAAGCTAGGAAAAAGATGCTAGCAGCTCATGAAAGAGCACCAAGAAGTCAGCATCAGCACAGGGAACGACAGAACAGAAAGACAGACTGGAACAGCCACACGAGGCACCAGGATACGGACAAGAAAAGATCAGTGGCAAGTCCAACACCTTCCAGTGCTAAATTCCCTCCGATCCCTGTCTCCTGGGTGTTAACACAGACACAATAATGGGAAGATCAGACTTCACTCACTGCTGTCTCCCCACATCTTCCCTGGCTTTCACACAAAACAGACCCAAGGTATTCAGGTTGTTCCCTGAAGACAAAGTTGCTCTCCTGCAGGTCCGCATCCTCAGACAGCATTCCTGACATCCAAAAGGCCTGAACTCCTCAAAAAAGCACATTCACCTCTTTCCCGCCCCTCTCTGGGGATGCACCTTGCTTCAGCTGGTAGGAAGTGAATACCTTTTCTCTGCTACTTTTACACCAAACCCGAATGAAACTTGCAGACACGTTATAAGTCCCCAGGGCTGACAAGCACAGCACCACCCCCAACCTCCTCAGAGAGGCGAGGGGAAGGCAGAGGCCCCTCCCGCCGGGTC